AACATTTCTTATATAATGCAATGTAATTTATCTTATAATAGATTATGTGAGACTTTCATAGCATTCAAATGAAAGAGCAGCTTTCTAATTCTTTGAGGGCCTTTGTGGCATTTATTATAACTGAGGACAGGCTTTGTAACCCTACTGCACATTTCCTCCTACTCGCCAAACACCTTCCAATCTATCAAGTGCTTTTTCCTGCTTCTCTTTATCATTTGTTCTTACCTACTGCTGTTTATTTGTGGGTCTTTATGCCCCTAATTTCTGTTCACTTTTTATTCCCTGAGCACAAGCCACCCTTTACTTTTCAGGAATCATATTAAAAATAAAAAACCAAACCAAACAAAATGTATTACTACTATTTCAAAAAGAATAATAATTATATTTTTAGAAGCCAAGTTCTACACTTATAAAAGAATTAGTATACTTGTGTCAGAGAAAGAAAAACTGGACTAAATAGGAACTGTGCTAATTTTAAGGATAAAATGAATCTACCTGAACAACTCACCAACCAATATGGGACCTAGCTCCTGAGCATTCTGAGGTACTCAGCTTTAGACCTCTTGAGTATTTTTACTAATGGCTTAGATGATATTCAGAAGAACAGGGCTTTTACAAATATAGCTATTCATTTGTGGATTTTATTTTTGGAAAGGGAGGTAAATAATTGTCTCATGATTAAAAATAAAGTTCAAATTGGCCATGGTCAATTGAAGAGTCAGTTATAAAATTAAGATCATACTGAGTCAAAAACATAATCACATTTCATTGCAAGATACAAAATGAAAGCAAACCTATAAATATATGAGAAAACTGCAGGAATCCTGTGATTCAGGAATCGTGGTTAGATTAGCAAAATGTTAGGACATATGAGGAGGATAAAGAGCTTAATGGTTTTTCAGACCACCATATTTTATTTGCATCTGCACTTGATAATAGTCATATGGAGAAACAAGACAATATCCAATTTGGAATATATATATAAATATATACATATATATATGTGGAGGATAAAAGAAGGTGAGCACAAAAATAACGTATGTGATGTTAGAAGAGGAAAGGAATGTACTCTATTACCTTTTGACAAGTGAAAGTTAAGGACTGCATAGCTGACCTCTTAGGAAAGAAAGAGGATGCCTATTGGCAATAAATAGAACTACAAGGAAGTAACATTATGCTTCCAGAAAATTAATCCTTATCTTTTTGTTTCAAAATATGAATGCAATCATAGTTTATTTTATGTTTATATAAAAAATGTGTGCTGACTGGATGAATATAACCATATACATGATGGCACTGAGATAATAAATTTGTAATTTATTGAACAGTGTATCAAAGAATAGTAATTAATTCTTGCCCTAACAAGTTGTATGCCTAGGTCTATTAACCATTATTGTTAGATTGGTAGAAAGGAGTAAGTAAGACTTCCAAATCCTTTAAACCCAGCACTAAACTATAGGGTTCAACATTACAACTACTGGTCTCAACTCCTTAATCCAGGCATTTTAATAAAAACTTTCAATTGGATGACATAGTAACTTACCACAGCCATGATACTAGCTAGTCCCTATTTTCTGGGTAAAGCCAAAAAAGAAAAGACAGCTAAAATAAATGGAAAATTCAAGTAAAAATTCAATATGGGGAGGAGAGGAAGAAAGAATATTCATCTTAAAAGAGCTGTCTATAGCTATATTTATAGTTCAATCACAGATTTTAATGAGGAACTTCACACTATAGCCTTTGATTTTTATTTAATCTACTTTCTTTTTTTATGAGTAGAAAAAGGACTGACCCCTCCAGGCATAAAGTTGAAAGATCTATATTTGACTACTGAAAGAAATTTTAGTGTTTGTAAGGCTGGACGACAGGAATAGAGGTGAGATAAAATGTGCTTTCAAATAAGTGAAATGCATAATTAAAAATTAGGCAAAGAAGTTTTACAAAAAAACTTCCATCAAAAGTTAGGCATTTGAAAACTATTATGCATGAGAAATTTCGTAACAGAAAGCATTAGAAAGCCATGCCCATGTTCTTATTGTCTCCCCAAGAATCAAAAAGTGCTTTCTAATTATTAAATAGAACTGCTGCATTTATCTAAAGAAGCTTTTATTTAGCAAATAAGAAAACAGCAATAGAAAAATTAGTAAATTAAATTAGGTAATAGGAAAAGCATACATGCACTATCGTTACTAGCATTAAATATTATACTGGATTTTGTTGCCTTAAAAATTCTACACATTCTGCATTAAAGACACATAAATTTTGCATTTAAATTGTTAAATAGAAGTTTAAAGGGGGAACTGTGTGTACATTTAATAATAATAATGCATAAAACTGATAGGGACATATTATTACTTCAAGATTTTGGTATAGTTTCTCTTTAAAAATAGAGTTGACTGTTTTAGGTCACTTAATCTCAGTCCCTAAGAGAAAATGAGAACAACTTGTTAAAGGCAAATCTCCCCTCTAATTTTGCTGAATGTTATTATTTCCCCAATAAAACATGACTCCTTTTTAATGAAGTCTGAGGAATAACAAGAGCTACAATAATTCATTTAAATTACCATGGCTACAGGAAATATTAACTTTGAACAAATTACACTAACTGGCTAGTTGAAAAGTTACCCACGGATCAACTCTTTCTCTTTACAAAAAACAGGGGAGAATTTCACCATCATTGTGTTTAGATATAAATTGATGCCACAGGTAAATCGTGTTTACATCTAGCACTGACATCTTCCTAACGAATCAAAAGTAAAAGACTTTATAAGAATATTATATGTATTATTTTAATTAGATGTTTTTATCACCTTGTGTTAATATAGCACCTTGCTCCAAATTTGTCGACAGTATAAATCTTTCATCTTTTTAATTAGCATACTCTTTATGGTATATGTGGTACATTCCTTAGGCAGAAAAATTATAATCCGTACTCTGCACCAGTGTAGAGACTGGGTGCCTCAGAATCATCGTACCTTTGTATCAAGAAAAGAAACAAAAACTAACATATGGGTTAACTCTAATTATGACTGGCTTTGCTGAAATAAAATGTCATAAAATCTATAAACATCAATAATATTTTGTCTAGAGAAGACATCTGTAATAAATAACCTTATATGTTTAAAAAACTAGAGAATGACTATAAATAACCTTTAATGTCTAATTTTCAATTTCCATTACATCAATTAATATGGTAAACTACTCTTCAGCAAGTTTCAAAGTGATTCATAAACATGGATTGCTTGAACAGAAACCTTGCCACTATAGTAACAAAGTATTTCTATCTGTCTAGTAGGCCTAACCTAAAGAAACAGGTGCTATATTGTGGTCTATGCAAAGATACAGACATATACAGTTACCATTGTAATAACATATCTACAACACAACTGCTCAGCTTGATCTGACAAACTGCTTGGTTCAAACAGTGGTCAATAACAATACACTAAGTTAAATTTTGTATGCAGTTCATTGAAATTAATTATATATGAATATGATCTACCCAAATTATTTATTCATAGTTACCTTAACGAACACTTACATCAGAACCAGGTTGATAATTTTCCATCATGGTATACAAAATTTAGTTTATTTACTGTATGTAGCACAGTAAATATGTATATGATATGAAGTGACAGGACAAGTGAACTGCTTTAATTTAAACACTTTACTGAGCAACTTGGTCAAGGATAATTATGTTAACATCTTGTAAATGAATAATGAAAATGACACAAGAGCAAAACTTTTTAAAAGCACATTGGATCCCTTTTAACTACAACATTAAGTTGGGGCTGTGTAAAACAGTATGTACTTGTAGAGTGGAAATTGAAATCTCAAAGGCAAAATCTCAAATATTGATCAGATTTTCATTTTATTAATACTAAATTCAGAATCTGGCTTCAGTTCTCTACACAACCTCAGATAAATATTTTTCATTGTATGAACTATTTATTTAAGGCCATCTTTTTCAATTTATGAACATTTGAAAACTACTAAGACAAATCCCCCTAGGGAAAAAAATGAATTGTAAATTACACAGAGACAAACAACTGGGCTTTAAGTCTCCCTTCCCATACTCTAATTGGATGAGTGTTTAAGAAGGACTTCTCTGGTTTGTGGTGGTGCCCTCTAACGACTAGACGGACCTTGCTTTAATAATCACTCCATGTGCAATTTGTTTTAGCATTTACACCGTTGATGGTAGGAAGCAATCTTCTTTAATGGATACTGAAAGCTTCAAGTGAAATCTGTAATTGACAAAGGCTTCATAGAAACAGGCAATTAAGAACAAAATTAACAAGAGGCCCTACAGGAAAAGCACTCAAGCTTTCAAATAATACTTCTCTAAGAAAATATTTGGTAAAAATAAAAATTTAAAAGAACCAAGTGTAGTTTCTTCCACTTTATTATCTGCTTCCTGTATCTGTTAAAAAGATGGCCATAGAGTTAAAGTCATTGGGTCTAGAGGAGTAATCCGCCTCCAATATTATTAGGTGGAAAATAAATAAATAAATAAATAAATAAATAAATAAATAAATAAGAAAAGCCCATCGTGAAAGTTGAGGCAAGTTCAGCACCTAATTCTTCAAAATAACAGCTGTTAGTTGAGTTCTAGTACCTCACATTGAATGAGGTAGTGTGTCGACAACAAATAAAATCGCTCTGGAGAGCGAAACAACAGAGACAGGAAGGGGAACAGGGCACTAATTGCCCTCATGGCTCCAGGAGCCAACACCAGTCCTCAAGTGTTACTAGTCCAGTAAGTGATACAAGCACATCCGAAATGACGAATATAAACAAGAGCACGAGAGTGAGTGGAAAAGGAACAGAACCGTCAACCGCATTCTTTGCCCAGTCCTCCAACCCCCAACCTCACAAAAGGAAGTTTACCTGTGGCGATAGGTAGAACCAGGGGAGGGGGCCCGGGCTGGTTCTCAGACGAGTTACTCCCCGGGTTTGGGGGACGCAGGTCTCCCGGTGGGGAAGGGGCGGGGAGCACTTACTTTGAGCAGCTTGCAGCGGATCTGCGCGGAGACCATGTGGCTGTTGCGCAGGTTGCCCACCCGGAACATAAGCGTGAGTTTTCCGTCCCTCATGGAGATCACCGCGTGCTCGCTGAACATGAGGGTCTCGGCGCGCTTCTTAGGCTGGGACATCTTGATGAACATGCAGCCGATGAGGAAGGCGTCCACGATGGAGCCCAGGATGGACTGGAAGAGGAAGAGGATGATGCCCTCGGGGCACTTGTCTGTGATGTATCGGTAGCCATAGCCGATGGTGGCCTCGGTCTCAATGAAGAAGAGGAAGGCAGAAGGGAAGTTATAGACATTGGCCACGCAAGGCGTGTAGTTACCGACGTGGGCTTTGTTCAGGTCGCCCCGAGTGTAGGCGATCACCCACCACATGGATGCCATGAAGAGCCAGGCCACGGTGTAGGTGAGAATGAAGATGAAGAGGTTCCAGCGCCACTTGAGGTCCACCAGCGTGGTGAAGAGGTCCGAGAGGTAGCGGCTCGTCTCGCTGCCCAGGTTGCCGTGCTGTACATTGCACCGGCCGTTCTTGTCCACGAACCGCTGCCGCTTCTTCTTGGGCACAAGCTGCTGCTGAGGGTCCTGGCCTGGACCCTGGGGCTGCAAGCCCGAGCCGCTGGACGATGTGGTCACTACCTGGTAATCGTCCCCAAATTTCCTTCGGAGTGCAGACATAATACGAAGGGGCGAGCCAGATTCAAACGCAAAGCGAAGGCGCAGGAGCTGGGCGCTGCAAACTAGCACCAATAAAGAGGTGGGGGCGGGGGAGGAAAGGGGGCGAAGCGAGCGCTCCTGGGTGGGGGGCGCACCCGGCAGGTAGCTGCGGTCTCTGCCCCCTGCAGAAGACGCCTCTCCTTCTCCCCTAGGACGGAGGTTTTCTTGCCAAGGTGAGTCTTAAAAAAAGTGTTCTCCCGCACTCAAGGCAGGAGGGATGCAAGGACCAGGAACCCAAGCGCAATTGTGCCTCCAAGCTTCCCGAGGCTCCTCTTTTCTTTCTCCACCACCGGCATCCCGGGTCACCTCTTGACTCCCCACGGCCCTCCTGATTATCCTGCAGTACCCCCAAACTGGCTGCTTAAAATAAATGAGTTGACCAGCGAGCCCCAACCCACCTGCCAACTCGCTGGCTGACTAAGAAGCTGCCTTTACCTGCCTGGACCAGACCCTCCCCCCCCTCCCCGCCGCTCCCCAATCTCCCGCCCCCTGGGACCGCTCCCCGCACCCCCGGCGCACCTGTCTCCTATCTTTTAGCCAAAATCCCGCCCAAAGGCATGTCTGCCGGGTACTGGTGCAACGCCCCCTACCCGCGCCCTCCGGGCTCAGATTCCCGGGTTCCGGACTCCAGAGACCTGTCCGCCTGGCGTCCCCCGACCGCCGAGTTTCCGCGGGCGCCACCGGGGCCCTCCGGCGGACCCTCAAGGGCCCGCAGGCCGCCCCCGCGCTCAGCTGAGACACGGCAGTGCGCGAAGCCTGGGCACTCACCCAGCGGGAGAGGGCAGGAGGCGGCGCAGCGGGCGGTAGCGGCAGCCTGGCCTCGCACTCTGCGCTCACGGCTGTTTTCCTCGTTCCCACTTTTCCTGGTGTACCACGATGGGCGCCAATGCAGGTCCCCCAAGCTCCGCACCTCCCTGAGGGCACCGCGCTGTCCCTGCCAGAAAGATCCTTGGCGCACACACCACAGAATGACTCGAGCGGGGGCTCGTGGGTTCCTTGGCGCTGTGCCCTCCTTCCAGGCGACAGCGGTGCTGCTGGACGGGGTTCGAGCCTTGGACTGCCGGTCAGACTTTCAGGTTAAACAGTAGCGCCGCTCTAGCTTTTCCTCTGCCTCTTCCTTCTTCTGTCCCCCACTCCTTTTCAGCGCCTCGGTGGCCCCGGGTGGAAGATGCGAGGCGCAAGCTGGGGCAGCAGGAATGTGGTGTGTGTGGTGGTGCGTGTGATCAGCTGCAGAGCCGCGCTAGCCCCGCCTGTCCCTGCCTTCCCCCGCTGCTCCACCAGCCTGAATTGCACCTCCGAGCCTCAGTTGAGCCTGCAGTGTCTGGCAGCTCAGGAAAAGCGAGCCCCTCCAATGAGAAGCGGCTCTAAATCTGCTCCCAAACGCCCGCCAACTCTCCTTTCTCGCCCCCTGCATCAGTCAGAAAGCCCCCAGCAAAAAGCAAATGCTGCTCTCTGAAAGAAGAGAAGTACAATATGTCTCTATAACTGGGCACTCGTTTAAACGGATGCCTGGATTTGGGGTTGCATCATAAACAGAGATCCCAACTGGCTCTGAGGTAGGCATATTCAGAACTCAAAGTTGCAGGAAGCAGGAGGGGCCTTAGGATGAGAACAGAAAGGAGAGAGACACTAATAGAAATCCTTTCTGGAAATGACTCTATTAGAAAGGCTCAGAATATCTAGAGTTAATGTGTGCCTGTAATTGAAGGAAGAAGGCTGGATTTTAATGGCCTCAGCCTGGCAGTTAACTTAATGGAGGGGCAAAGTGCAGAAATAGCTAATAGAGTGCCCATGAGTAAATACCAGCTTGTTTACCACATTTCACGTTTGCTTTAAAATGCCATGGTATCTTATGGCATATTTCAGTCAGCCCAGATACATGAAGTTGATTTTGTTGGAAATTCATCAAATCATGGCATTGTAAAAGCAAAAGGCTGCTACAAGTTTCCCATGGAAAGGAAAATAAGTACATAATTTACTCTATGCATTCTCTGCCAATAGGTACTCCTCTCTACCTCTCTACTTATAAACCAACTGCAGGAAAGTGCGTGTCAGGTTGTCAGCCATAAGCAGGGGACTCTTTCACTGTTATTTGGTTAAAACATCTATCCTCAGTTACAGATGCTTCTCCTGCCAGTTCGCTGATAAAAGGTCAGTAACTCTCTGTTTGTTCTCTTAAGATTACATAAGAAGGGAAAGTGACACTGTGGGAAGTGGAAACTTCTCTGGTCCTAGAATCATAAGACCTGATTTGAGTCGCATCTGTGCCATTTACAAGCTGTGTGACCTTGAGCAAGTAGCTGAACAACTTTGAGACCTAATTTTCTCCCCTGAAAAATTGGGAGTTTGAACATTTTCCTAGTGTTGGTATGAAAAAAGAGAGTAAATGTGTTTTTTTATTTCTGCTATGAAGAATGTTGTATAGTGGACTATAAAGTTGCAACGAGGCCAAGAAGAGATTACAAATGAGCTTTATGCTGTGAACTAACACCTATATTCTCATCTCATCTCTGACTACTCTCTCCCAAGCTCATTATGCCCTTGGCAGCCTGGCTTCTTTCAATTCCTGATACACACCAGAGCATAGCTCCAGCCCTGGACCTTTGCACTAGATCTGTTCCCTCTACCTGGAAAGTTCTTGCTCTGCCGCTCCATGTTGCTCACTCCTTCACTCATTCAACTCTCAATCTAAATGCATCCTTCTCAGGGAAGCCTTCCCTAGCATCTCAGGTATTCCCATCACATCAACCTTATCTATCTTCCTCATCACGCTCTTTTTTACAGCTACTGTTTTCTTCATTTGTTTGTTGTCTTTCTCTTCCACCATTATCAGTTGTAGAATGTAAGCTATACAAGAGGAAGGACCTTGTCTGTCTTGTTCTCTGCTATGTCTCCAACACCTAGAAGCATATCACATACTAGGTCCACAATAAATATGTATTAGATCAATAACGTGCCAATCTATATTACTGGAAACTACATGCATTGAAACTCTCTGAGTAATATGGAACTAAATAAAAGTAATCATTAAATCAGATCACTTATATGACAATATAAAAAACATGTAAGTTTTTGTTTAAAAAGAGTAATACTTCCTATGCTCATTAGCTTTAGAAATGATAATCAGTTTCCAAGTCTTTTTTATTGTTATTGCTGCAATATCTCTCATAATTTCCCCTCTCTTTAAAAAAATGTCATTACCCTTCTTCAAATTCTCATTTCAAGTTAGGCCCAACTTGAATAACTTTCTTGCCTTTATTCAGTTTTCCTCTCCTTCAAACTGCCCGGGATAGTAGTACTAGATCTCTCGCCTTAAACCATATGTTTAGCATTGCCATAGAAAATAAAAGTTCTCCAGTTATTTCATCTGGAAGATTTTAAAACATTCCCACTTTTTGAAAAACACTTTTTCATGAAAAACCTTTGCCATTTTCTAGCAACCAAATTTGTAAACAAATAAGTTTATACTTCAGGAGACATGGTCTGGTCTAATCCTCTCATTTTACAAGTGAGGAAATTGGGGATAGAAAGGCAAAATAACTTGTTCAATGTCACAGAGTTGATTAAGTGGAAACTGAGATTTGACCACAGAACAATATGACTGTAGAACCTGGATGCGCTGCCATCCCTTACCAGGTAGTGGCAGAGTAAGAAAGGGACTTAGGATTCCTGATTCATAGCGAAGGTCTTCTTCCTTTATAGGCCTAGCTTCTCATGCAGGTGAAATCTAAGATCCTCCAACATATGGCATAATCTAGCTTTCCAAATTATCTCCTGTCTTCCTTTTAATGGGCACTTTGCCCTAGCCAACTTTCACTGTTAGGTATTTCTCAAACGTGCCGTATATTATCTTCATTTGCTCGCTTTTTTTCTCATCACTTAGAATATCTTTTTTCTACACCTGCAAAGTCCAAATAATAGGCACTAGTATGTAAGGAAAGGGAAGGATTTCTTCATGTTTTATTTCAATTGCTATTGCTGTCATAAAGTTTTTCCTTATACTCTCACTAAGAGTAATGCATCCCTCCTCTGAACTCTCATTTCCCTAGATTTGCAATGTGGCATTTTTCACATTCTAACTTGTATTTCAGCTTAGAATTTACCAAGATTCCCTCTGAGCACCCTGAGCATCGACTTCTTAATAATTTGGTACCATCCATTATTCCATGATCCAAACTGACCTTGTGCATGATAAACACTTGATAGAGTTTTAGAGAGAACCAAAATTTATTAAGAGCCTTCTTTAATGTGCCAGGTAATGTGCTTAGAACTTTACAGGTTAGTGTTTATATTATATAGATAGAAAGGCAGTGAAGCAGGAATTCCAAAACACATCTGCTTATTGTCAAGATTTCTATTCTTTTAATGACACAGTCCTGCCAGGGAAATTAAATATTTTTAAGGATGCCATTGTGTCACACTTTAAATGTGACTGAGGCTTTGACCTATTTGTGACATTGAGTCCAACTCCTTGAAAATGTTCACAGATGAACCAAACTCATCCTTTCCTGTGAGGGCAGCTGCTTCCAGGATGAGGTTCTGGAGGGCAGCCAGCCCCGTGGTGCAGAGGCCAGGCGGATGTGTGGGGAATGGATGATAGAAGGCCTCCTAATCAGGTGCTGTCTGATGAACTGAAGTGAAACACTGCAAGCAGAATGGGTCAAAGGAGAGAGAGGCATACAACTTCAGGCCAAGTCACAAAGCCAGGAATGATCTGGAAAATGTAACTGCAGAATACAAAATCATCTGGAGTCTAACATTTAAAGATAGGGTGGTAGATTACGAGAAAACTACCATACAGTTCATGAGGGTGGGGGGGATCAAAGCTATATTTAACAACCTCGGCTAGGAGCAAGCTACATATTTATTCTGCCTGGAAAGTACTTCTGGCAATGTCTTATTTGCTGTGTCCAAAATTAGTAATATCATGAATAACTATAACTTCAAAAATGAATATGATTCTGTGTTTTATACTAAAAAGGCATGACTTTGTACATGCACTTATCCTATTATGTAACTGAATGGTGTGGGGAAAAGAGTGTATCTAATATGAAAGAAAAAACCTCTGCCCCTGAGAAGTCCAAATTCTAAAAATGACTTAATCGGCCAACTGTGACAAAAGCAAGGCTTTGAACATCTCAGTATCCCTGGAGTCTGTCTTCTCGTCATTCACTTATTGCCACTGTGACATACCACGTGACAGTCTGCATGGCCAGAAATATTAATTACTCTCTGGGAAGATGATATTATACTTAATACTCCTTTACTCCTAATCCTACCATTCTCCAAAAGTACAATGAAGAGATGGGCAGGCCTGGGGATCTAATGCTTTCATACTTCAAAAGGTGACACATTCCCATTGCCACCATAAGTTTTGCTATATCTGGGAAGAGGTCACTCTTTGAAATTCTATATGCAATTTTGGGAAATAGAATGGTG